TCACTACAACGCGAATGACCCAGACTTGAGAGATATCAAATATTTTCGTATTATGCCTCATCCATAAGTTTGTATTGAGACCTCTAAATCGATATGATCAAGAGACTCCAAAGACGTTGCCAACAAAACAATCCCTTAGGTCTAAATGTTGCAAAAGTTGACCTATGACGCGACTAAAAAGGAGTTGTTCCATGTCTTCAGTTTTAATTAGTGACTTAATTGTGAAATAGACTAATTTGATCACTCCTATTCCAAAAGATTTTGGTTTCATATAATTGTCATTTATATGCATTGCAACCCATGTGCTACATCACCATCATGTTTTATTGTGTACTTTAAATTATATATATATCCTATATTATATGATGAATGTAGAAGATTATATCCCCCTCCTTCCATTTAATATTTTTTAAAGTCCAATTGATTGATATATATATATATTGTAAATATCAATATTATGAAAACATTTGTTGTTTAATAAAGTGTGAAACAAGGCATAAGATCTCATAAATTCATTCCATGTAAATAAAATGAATAATTTTATATCTTATTTTGGGATATTTATATTAGCCCCCAAACATTCAAACATTATGTTTTAGTTTTCAAAATTTGTACCAATGTTTTAAGTGCTTGAGGGTAATTAATTTTTAATAAATTATTTAACAAAAATACTGATTTAAAAAATATTTTATTTATATATTTACTTGATAGCGGAATGTTTACGCGTAAAAAACTATTTGATGTCATTATTAAAGAGGTCAATTTATAAGTTTTGTGTAGCAATAACAACTTTTTTAGTGAGGACCTACCTTAAGTTAGGCGGGAGAACTCCTCACTTTAATTAGGTTCGGAGGCGCAAGATTTTCACTCTCAATTTAAATTTCCATGATGAAAACGCGGAGTACATATATTATCTACACCGACTTCGTCTTTGAACCAAAAATCTTTTAGTTACTTATAATAGGTTAATTATCTTGTATATCTACATTAACGCAACAAAAAAGAATATAGGCCAATAGTAACATATAAATATTTTTTTAGAAATAAGTTTCTCTAAAATTTTAAAGTTCAAATGTAAAAAGTAAAATATATAGAATTTTATGTATGGAAAACTCAATTTTCAAAATATTGAGAATTAAGGTTAAAACGAAAATTAAAATTACTGTGATATCAAAGTTAGAAAAGATGACATTCCTACCCTACCCCACTTTTATATATATAATTTCTAATAAAACATTAGGATTAACCTAAGTTTAAATAATTAAATGAAAAGGGTTTAGAGGACTAATTGAGTCCCCCATTTGGTATAGTTTTGAATTTGAAAAATGGGTATTTTTTAAGCAAAAGAAAAAAAAAGCTTTAGATAATTAACATTAACCTTCCAAAGGTAGTTTGGTAGGGAATGTCACTTCCAATATTTCAAATTCAAGTGGAGCCCATTCTTTTTTGCCCTTTTTTTTTTCTTTTAACCATATTTATGGTTAATTCACCTAAATAAAAAACTAACCGATTATGATATTTTTAAGTATGAATAAGAACGATTAATACTAATCCTTTTGCAAAAAAAAAAAAAAAAAAGGATAATACCAAATGGAATCATTTTGAATATAATTCCAAAATAGTTTTAAGTGTGTTAATACCTTTTCCCATTACTTTTTTGATCCCTCTTTCCAAATTTATTGTTTTTCTTAGCAAAGCCAACCCTATAAATCAAATTATTCGTTTTTTCCCATCAATTAGACATTAGGTGGATCAAATAAAAACAAAATTTTGCCACATCAGAAGGAAAAAAAATTGTAAATTTTATAAAGCAAATACAAAATATACTTTTGTTTACTTTTCTCTAACTCATTTGTAGAGTAATTTTTAATGAGTAAAGTATGTTCTTTTTGTATCCCAAGTACTCCGAGTATCTCTACAATGGTATGATATTGTCTGCACGGCTTTGTTTTTGCTTCCATCCAAAAGGTCTCATACCAATGGAGAGATAATTGTCTTCACTTCCCTAGCCAATGTGGGACTTTGTTTGCATTCCTTACAAACCCAACAGAATGAACTCGCATTAAGAAGCATTTTCCTGCCATTCTAATGCCTCGTATATGGTGTTAGTGGATTTTAAGTAGGTGGCATTCTTCAGATCACTATGCTACACTTATGTCGGGTAGCAGGTCATGGCAATTTAATCAGCATATCTCATCTCATTCTTGATTTGTCTGAGTTGAGGCCTTGACACGTATTTTTAGACGAGTGATCCACATGATAGACTCGGATTCCAAATTTATGTTTCAGTTCCTATTAGTGAGGCTTTTTCTTTTTCAATAATTCAGTCTCCATTACATAAGACTTGGCCGACCATAAATTTATGTAGCATGATACATGGTAAGTTGGAAAAGATTCTGATAATTAATTAGATCAAAAATTGAAATTTCTTCCGCTGTTTAAGATTTTTGAGGAAGAATTAAATATCAAAGTCCTATCAACTCAACATGCATGCGCTATCAAAAGAGGAATGAAGTTGAAAATTTTTAATCAGACTAAATTGAAAAAAGAAACACAAAAATAGAAACTAAAACATATA